TATAGCGGAAATTTGTCAAACAAACATTTTTGTCATTCATTTAATAATGTAATAATAACCTGGTTTTATGAAATGAAAAGAATCAAATTTGTAACAAGTGCAAACAAAAAAGGCTCAACGAGGAATACCTATATTGAATTTAGTCAAATGAGATTTCTATGAAATGTCTATTTAGCCCTCCGGTCTGGCAGATTTTAATGGGCGGCGGTGATCAGATTCCATCAGGTGAGCCTCCTGCCCGTTTGCCCCCTTTGTCCAAAAAAAACATCTCTTTACTCTAAATTGCTACTGTAAAATTGAGAAGGTAAATTCGACAAGTTTGTGAGACGTAAGGTCTCTCAAGTGCAAAATGCAAAAATATGAATTTAAGAAAGGATGGGGGCTAATTTCAATTTTATGGTACATTTTCTAAAGTCAAAATAATCCGATTTCTTTTGTATATTACGTGAATAAATTCGAAAAACGCTTTTATGTCATTGTTACAACTATGCATATCACATAAACACCAGGACAACGTAAATGTGAAGAAAAAATGCATCATGTACGTATTGCCGTCTCTGTCAAACTCATTCGTCACTGAAATAAAAAAAAAATAGGGTTAAATTTTCGACTGGGAAGACCATCAAAGGGTTGAACTAGTCTCACGGATACCAGGGGAACAAAAATATTAGAGGACCGTCCCCATAAGTATGTACTTGTCTCTTCTTATCTATTAGTCCGTCTCTCTTCAACTTACGCTTTTGGTGTCTTTTTTTACAATCATTTTTTTACACTCCCGTAATTTATGCTTAATGGCTTTCGTGTACCAGAGTATCATCATAAAGTCTTGTAGACGAGGCGATCCTTCGACATGATGAAGTGAAATTTAAAGGGAGTTACTGAATAGAAAAACGTTTTATTTTTTTTTTAGTTATACTTATTTAGGCGCGTTTTGGAAAAAAATGATGAGATTGAATTTTTAAGATGCGTGCGCATCACTGTAACAAAAAAGTAACACCTTTAAAGCTCCCCGCTAAAGCGATTTTTTTTTTATAGATGGAAGCTATCCTCAATCACATTCGCCCATTACAGTTCTCAATAAAGAATGTAGATGCCGCTTTCATTATTTTATATTTTTTATTATTTATATCCTCTTTCAGTCTTTTTATTATTTTATAGTAATTAATTATTTGCATGCAATTAAAAACCATTTTTAATGGTGCCAAAGAAGTTCAACTTCTCACGCTCTCATTTTTTTAAGTCCAACTTCAATCCTATTAAATATTTAGTTCTTGAATAAAATAATTTAATATATATTTACAAAGAAAAATCATTTATATAAACTTTATGGATTATTTTAATTTTTGGATTTTAGAGAGGCAAAAGAAGTGTGGAAAGTACGTCGAAAGTAGATAGTAGGAATTCCTGCCTATAAAATTTACTACACCTCCGGTTGAAACTGTTTAAACCTAAACCTAAATATATAATATAATACAAATGATAAAATTCCATTTTTAAAACGGGCGCAAACTCATATTTTTCATTCCACTTAGCCCTTAACCCAGCATATAACCCCCTTGAATATATTCATATAATTCAACAACACAATTTTAACGAAGCATGTCGGAAATATTGCGGGCATAACTGTCGTTTTATGGTTATTTTATACAGAAGCGAGTGTGCTCAAAATATATGATATGATATAGTAATTGCCTGCAGTGTGTTTTATTTTTAGAAGGTCAAATTTTGTAATTACTGTAAACCTCCCTTTTATTACATTGTAACCAATATTGTACTTTTAATTAGTTCAGACGATAACCGCTCACTTTAAAAAGTTAGGTTTATTTATGACATACGACATAACTAACTATCATGTAAAGCAATTTCTAACCAAATGTTGATATTCGATGACAATCCGCTTCGTTAAAAATGCATGTGTCCAAAAATTGGTTTGAGTAAAGAATGTATCAAATGATCATTCATCATCGCCCACCACTCAGCTATTACAAAACATGTTTTGTTCATAATTTATTATGTGTGTAGAAAGAACACGACACTATAGATTTATTATGTGCGGTCAACACAATATCCCGAAAGTAATAACCATGTCCCTTTGGGAAGCGCGTGCATGCTCTTGTAACCAGTTAACACGCAAAGACGTCTCCTCTCTCCATTCGCGCAGAACAACGAATTATGATCGAATGCTACCCTGGTACTATCCCCCTAGATTCTCTCCTAGTTTTCGCACACCTTTTATTATTTTAATTATTCCGATACTGTTCTTTAAAAATGACGTTGTCCTCCAGCGTCATGTAGCGCTATTTTTGTTCCATATTTCCAAAATCCTATTTTAATCAGATAATGAGATTAATTTTCTTTGGTATTGTACTGCTGATTAATGCTGTAAATATTTGACCTTTATAAACTATTTTCATGTAACCATGTGGGCTGTAGAAAGGAATGCAGGGGCTCAAGTAGTTTCAAAGTGAAGAGATGTTTTGTCTCTCCAATGTTCACAAAAACATTGGGACAATACGACCAAGCACAGGTAAGTTATACAGTCCAGGATTAAATAGTATACCTCTTTCACTCTAACGTTTTTTTCCCCTATAAATAATGCTGCCTCTGTCACTTAATTTCATCCCTTCCGCCTTCAACTTTTAAAAGACTTAAAATAAAATGTCAGTTTAATTAGGTAATTAAAAAAGATCACACACAATCTCCTGTCGATAAGGGGAAAAAACAAAGGGATCACGTGAAAAGGGTTAAGCATTCCCTTTAAGTACCAAGGCAACAACAAACTGAAGATACCATTTCATTTACCAAGATTGAATTCTCTCACAACGCTTTGACGTGCTCAGTGAATGAGAGAGAGAAAAAAGATAGAAAATAAAAGATAGAATATATAGAGAGAGAGAGAGAAGATAAGCGCACAAAATATAAACAACTTACACAATTCTGAAAAGCAAGGAAATCAAGTTAATCCACCATCAATATATGCATTCAACTACTAGGGTAGCACAAGTGATAGTTGGTAAAACTCTCAAAGAGAATTTCCTTTAATCGCTGTTTTTAATTTTGAGGGGTTTAGTTTTGTTTTAACAACAATCGTTACAACATTTTTAAAATTTATATTTAGTTTGTTAAAACAGACCAATTTGGTACTGACACTGGTTAAAATCTAAATATTACAGAAAAAAGCAAGGCCTTGAGAATGTTTTATTTCTCAAACATTCTTTATTATTCCCAAGCATGCTAAAAGATCAGAAATAATGTACAGACCAGTTATCAATTATTTACAATTATTATTTTCACACAAACATTAGGGAAACAGAACAGGGTAGTGAAACCGAGCTGTCTTTTTGTGCCTACCTATTCATAAAAAAATATTGAAGCTGTCTCTTTCATGCAGAGCTCGGATAATTCATTTACTCCTTAGCCACGGTTCCCCCTTCTGCCATCCGGGTACAAATAATTTAACCAATCTTAAATACCGAGCCTCGATAAGTAGTAAGAGACAGCAATATGCCTCCTCTTTCAATATTATAATGAATGAAGAATGCTAAAAATGAAGTAAAAAAACCGTTTGTAGAAAAAATGGTTTGAGAACGGTAAATTTTCTCAACGTTTTCTTAATCTTCCCAAGGGTACTAGGAGTACAGAAAAGGCGAGGGTGTGTAGCCACCCCAAGTTAAAAGAAAAAAAGCATCGAACACAACAACGCAAGTAACGAACGGGATTGAGGAACTTTCTCACAGGTACTAGAGCAGCAGAACTTGATGCGAACATTCGAGACGTTATTATCTCAAAGCTTTCTAATAAGAAAGCTTCCCAGAGGAACCAGGAGATCATGGCGAATTTAAGTTGTCAGCTTAAAAAAAACTTCGTTCGTTCCAAAGTTTATAAATTTAGTATATCTTGCGAATAAAATTGAGAACAATATAAACTGAACTGAATAGAATTTGCTCTTTGTTCAATGAATGAAATTTTATTTTGATTCTGCAATAAATGACCTTAGCGTACCTTTGTCTTAATTAACAGTAACATTTAATAAGAACTTTTTTCTTTTTATTCTCTGCACATATATCGTGACAAGAATAGCATAGGATATCTAAGATAATTAATTACATGACGATGTGTAACTTCAAACTGATGTTGTGAAAACGTCCAGAAAGCTGCGCTCCGTTGATTTTAAGACATACAAAGGAGGGATGTAAAAAGACCAAAAAAAGTTTACAGCGCAGAAGGTCGATTCTTTATTTATCGATTTGTTATAATAAAAATGATGCACGTCCATACTGCGCGAGCTATATAATAAAAAAATGTTCCACTTTATATTATATGACATAATATAAAAGTGAATGTGACAGATGATATAGAACGTATGATATGGAAAGAGATAGCAGTCTATAGATTTGCAATCTAATTACAACAATTGGCGTAATTTGAGTGCCTCAGTTTCGGTGCTCCATTCATAATTATATACCGTGTATTTGTAAAAAGTAAATTTACAGCCTATAAATGACCCACTGCTGGGCAAAGGATTCTCTGCAGTCTTAAAATTAACAATTTCATCGGTGCTGGCGCTGGGGATCGAACTCGGGTTACTCGAGTAAATGTGATTATAGGCGAGCGCCCGGACACTGTGCTAATCACGGCTCAGTGTCCGTGTATGTATAAAATATCATTTGACTCCGGGTTAGTATAATTCGCCAATTCCTATAAATCTATATACAATATCGAATTCGATGACTCCGTGGCGCAGTCGCCAAGGTATTGGCTTCGGCGTCGGGGTCGTGGGTTCGATCCCCACACGGGACAACTATTTGTGTGACCCACAATATAGTTGTTTCGTATCTGGGTGTACGTCCGCGTGTAATTTATGTTTGTAAAACTTCCTTACAACACAGGATAATGTTATCCTAAAGTAAGGGCAGTGTTTTTAAAAACACCAAGAAAAAAAAACAAATATCATAGAAATGGCGCGTGAACCGGTAGGGGTTCATTGTAAGGGTTCGAACCTGCGACCACGGTCTCGGCGCGAGGCAATCGCTGCAGCACGTGGTGGATGAGGCCGACGTCGGTGCAGGCCTGCAGGTTGCGCACGCTCTTGCGCAGGATCGCGATGAACACCGACCATATCTCCGCCTGCGGTTGAAGAAAGAATAATATTGAGATGAGATATATAATTCGACTAGCCACCCGCCCTGGCTTCGCACGGGTGCAATGTATTATACATACAAACCTTCCTCTTGTATCACTGTATTTAGTAAAAAACCGCATCAAGATCCGTTACGTAGTTTTAAAGATCATACATATAGACGAACAGCGGCTTTGCTTTATACTATGTAATGATGACCCCGTGGCGCAGGTGCCAAGGTATCGACTTCGGCGTCGGGGGTCGATTCCACAAGGGAGAACTATTTGTGTGACCCACAGACAGTAATTTCGCATCTGGGTGTTTGTCCACGTGAATGTTAAAACGTCCTTACAACACAGGATAACGTAAAAGCGCAATGTTCTTCACAAAATTAAAAAAGATATTATAAAATAAAAGCACATAGTAGTTTTATTATTGCACCTGCCTAATGATCTCACGGTCTACGTCCAGCAGTGGACTCGAAACAGGCTGAAATTATTATGATGATGATAATGAAACATCTCACCGCACCATAGGTTGACTTCCAGATAATGCTGAAAGGTAGTCCGCCTATTGTGTTCCGAATTCGAGGAAATACAATAAAAACTAAATAAATAAACGAATAAATGGTCATTGCTAAGCTATAGGCTTCGGTGTCGGGGATCGTAGGTTCGATTCCCACACACGACAGGTATTTGTGGGACACAGATAATTGTTCCTGATCTGGATGTTTGTGTCCCAAGGAGGGGTTGACATCAGGCAGGCGGGCCGGTCGTAAAAAATATAGCCATGTTGTATCCACCGTCAGGAGGATTTTGACGATGGTGATGACATAGTAATTATGATAAACAGCATTAAATATTAATAAATAGTGTACGAAGTCCTTTCGAATGGGCTCAGTTACGAATAAAAATTATTAAAATTCAGGTGACATTTACATTGTGTGTAGGACGACCCCCCACTAGATGGAGTGACGACCTGTGCAAATGTGCGGGAAGTCGATGGATGCAGGTGGCTCAGGATCGTACTTCGTGGCAGTCTATGGGGGAGGCCTATGTTCAGCAGTGGACTCAAGCGGGCTGAAACGATGATGATGAACAGGTGACATTTTGGATGTTCGTTTGTATTTATTGTCGCAGCTTCTAAAACGATAATCGATAAGTATTTGCACTATTTCAAACTAGTATTGTTTCCGAGTAATATATTTAGAGTAATAATTTTTGTCGAATAAAAGTATTCCATTAGGAACATGGAGTAAGATTTTAAGTTGTAAAAACCTATTGAGTTTTATTTTCGAAAGGATTTTTCATCCAAAGGCTATATTGTCACGAGTCTTAGTTCGATTTTAATGGACATTCGAAGTAATCCACAAGTTTTTATTCAATTTTCGAATTTGTTTTCGCCGACGAAACAAGTTCTCTTTGTGTGAATTCTTAAACTCTCAACGGTTTAATGTACCTATAAATAAAGAAACAAAAACCGTGACCGTTTTGCCCACTATACCGTATACACTACGATACATTTTTGGTCATTATTTCGAATTTTTTTTTTCTCCATGAGGTTTTCCATCACCGCTGAGCTGAGCACGTCATGAGTGAGCGCTTAAAATTAACAATTGCATCGGTGCCGGCCGAGATTTGAACTAAAGTTGCTCGATTACTTATTAATGAATTAGAATTAGAAAGAACCTAACACGCATGTCTATCTGACGGTAGACATGCGTGTTAGGTTGTGTGAAACGCTTGTTTTGTCCAAATTGTCATATGTTGATACAGTTTTTAATGGTTGCTTATATGCTAGGACAAAAAAAATGATTCAACGTATCCAAAACGCATGTGCGCTTTTCTGTTTCCCTATCCTACGACGTGCTCACATCACTCCATATCTGAACCGACACAACTTGATGAACATGGCCAACCGAAGAACCATACACCTTGCCACATTGCTTTTCGGGGTTATAAAGAAAGGTGAGCCGTCCTAATTATTTGAAAAGCTAAAATTCTCACAGCGCTGCATTAGGACGGCACCTAGACTAAATTACCCGCAGTACCGTACGGCTGTCTTTAGAGGCAGCTTTCGTTTTGCTGCCACAAAGTGCTGGAATGATCTCCCACCCCCAATAAGACTCATAAATTCCATTAAGTCATTTAAGTCCAGCACTTAAGACTTTCATTCTTCACTAATACGAACAAAAACACACACTTTCTTGCTCCATCTCACACAACACAACAACAAAATCTTCTTCACACATAACACAAGCATGGCAGGTAAAATAAGTAATTTGAATTTGTTTTATAATAATTTTATTCTTTGTGTAACGTTTCTTACTTTTAGTCAAATGTTCTTGTTTTTTTAATTTATTGTATCCAATATTAATTCTTTACGACTATTACGTAGGGCCATCTATCTCTTTCCCCAAGGTTCCACTGAAAACCAGCATTCACGAAGATTGTCAACTTGTGATATGAAGCTGAGTGGTGACCATTTTGGTTCATTCTAATCATAGGTATTTAGTTTTTAGCATATGTTTTATTTTTTTTTTTGTGTTATTATGTACCAAATAAATGTTTCTTTCTTTCTTTCTTTCTAGAAGTGAGCGCCCGGACACTGAGCTATCGGAGCTAACATTCAACGGTGGTAGGGCCACGCAGCAGCCTCGGCTGTTGCACGAATGGGCAGGCCCGTCCGGGTAAGTATCACAACCTCACAGAAGACCGGAGTAAAGTGGAAGTATGACAAATACTTTCGCGTTTCGTCTGGTGAGTGAGGTAGCCGGAGCCCAATTTTCAAAAGGTTGTCAACGCATCTGTAACCCTCGGGTGTGGCAGATGTCCATGGGCGGCGGTATTCACTTAACATCAGGTGAACCGTCTGCTCGTTTGGCAACTTTTCGCATAAAAAAACAACAAAAAAAAAACATCGCTACATAAGCTCTCTTTCGAATTAACCACCACCCCGATGCACCGTTTCGATCGATACCGAATAGCGAAAGCCATTAGACAAAATTACGCCTCAAAGGGAAATCCATCGCTTCGCTTCCATTCGCGTGGCCGGGATGAAGAACGCAGCCGCACCGCTAAAGCCCGCCGCGTAATTTAGAGTCCGCCCCACGCGCGGCGTTCATCCATCTGCATTTCCCGCCAGAATTAAACGGATACTTTCATTTGCGGAGCTCTCCGTTTAATGCGATGCGGCTGCCACCGGGGGTCGCCTTCTACGCCATTTATAATAAATCTTTTCTCTACGCGCGTTTTGTATGCTCGCTTTGCCGCAATATGAGTGGACTTAATGCTCGCACTGAATAGCTGTTGCGTTCTTTATATCAACATCGCTTCCCGGTTCGTGCTCTCTTTAATTAGTATCGTGTATGTGGATGTCTGCAGTGAGCTGAGGATAGTTGGAATCATAGCAACCTTTTGAATAGCCCGTAGTAGCTGACTCCGTTCATGATTTTTATATGTTCAGACGTGCATTGACACAGTTATTATAGCAATTAGTTTTTGAAAAAAATATTGAAATCAGTAGAGAGGCATTTATTGCTTGATGAATGACTGATCCAAGCCAATATTTATAAAAAAAGTTTTATTTATTTAATTGATATTATTTAATGAATAAACTAGGTACTTAATTGATCATTGGTGAAACATTGTTTCTGAGTAATAACTTAAATTTAATATTTGGATTCCGCGTGTGAAGATTAATTCGGAAGAATGCCGTAAAATTGACAATTTATCCTGCCAAAGCTCACGTACGTATATTACGTATGTTGAATAAGATAAAAGATTATTATTGGATCTATAAATTTACGTTAAAAATTTTAAGTTACTTTTTTTACCTTAGGTTCGCACAGTATAAAGAATGTTCTCACGTGTACTAGGGTAGCATCCGTACATAGGATGGAATAACGGCGCGCAGGTGTCAATGAAAGGGAGGTCATAACAGAGATGGCACGAGGCGAGTTCTTATGTGTGGGAAGAGCGTTTACAAACATAACATGAAACGGAGAATCTTTGTAGGATTTTTAGCTACTCAAATGTGTTATTTAAAAAAAAACATTAAACGGTCCGCCTTTAGAAGTCAGATAGAAACGTTTGATAAAAAGTTAAATAGTTTTTTTAACATTTATATATATCTCCCAAGATCATTATAAAACCATAAATAATTACTTTTTGCGCACTCAGTTTTAGAAACATTAGCGAGGTGGCTGCTACACATTTATTAAGTCATGTACCATTCATACAGTTACTAATGTAGTTCTTATCACATGTGGTGTTTTTTATCTAATTTTTTGCCTTCTGTATGCTTGCGTGCGTTAGTTAGTAGACTCACGACACTGAGCAGGTTTTAATGATATGATGTTGGTTTATAATGTGACTGTATATAGAATGATTGACAAGCATCAAGTGTCTCTGTCTAACCCTTGGGGTTAAAAATACAAGAGCCCAGTATTTTTTTACCTTCTGCAGTAGGTACTATAGTATTTTATTTTAGTTTATTATGTTGCATATACGCATAGCATAATTATGCCTAAAATAAAATATCGACAACGACCAAATTACGTAAGAAATCTGTCGATTTGTCCGGCAGTAAAATTTGGACCTAAACTTTCATGAAATAATAAGTAAGATACACAAATGCTAAGGATTACGTTTTTCTATAGCCTTAAGGGTCGCCAACCTTCCTCCGTACCCAATTTCCACGGGCCACGGAACCTTTAACACGCCTACGTATGTCTTTATACGTATCTAACAAAGAATTGCCGTCACTTGTAAGCCGATCCGCGTCACGCGGGCTGTCGGCGTGACGAGCGTTAATCACACGACAGGCCGACGTGACACGTCCGTCCCGCAGGTCGCAATCTAGAGCGTGACACGGCACATTGCCACGGCGATGTCCACTTGATTGCTGTAATTATTTCGGATTGCCACACTCTGTAAGACAATGGTGGCTAGCAAAGTCCACTTTTAAACTGATCTTATTAAAAAAGTATGCGTGTACTCATTTACGC